GAATCACCAATTTTCAAAGCATTAATTACTCTTAATCGATGATCGTGTATTCTAAAAGAAGTTGATAATGGCACGAAAATTCCAAGACAAATTTCATCTACATAGTCACTTGTTATTCATGAATTTTATCATTATTTGAAACGAAGATGACTGATTGATGGAACTACAACAAGGTTACACTTTCTTATACAACATCCTAAGAACGCCATTAAAATATGAATCACCACACGGAATGCATTTCGAACTGATCTTAAATTGAATAAAGAATTTAAAATACTCCTTAGATCTGACAAAAATAAGTGTTAGTAGTATAATACATCCAGTAAAACTCTACTATCTAACAATACGTATTAACAAATGTATAAAATATCTACGACATAATCATATAAAAATTTGTTCTCCACATAGTGCCACTTGATGAATTTGTCATTATTAATAAAGCGATTAAAAAAGATTTCAAATGGAAATATCAAGTTAAATTTACTAACAAAAATTTCTTTTATTTCCAGTAACTTTAATCAGACCTCAGTTTAGAGAAAGTTATTGTAAAACTTGTTTGTATCGAATCTAAAATTGTCTTAAGCAAAATATTTTTTGTTTTTTGATTAATTCAGTCAATGAATATTATTTTGTTTTTAGTCTTCTTGTTCGAACTTGTTTTCATAGGTATGTTTTATAGAAATATTCGCTCGAAACAACAGGACATGTAACTGTAATCTTTAGTTTCGGATTGAGTAAATCTTCAAATATTGGTCCTATTCATGCATATTTCAATGCTATAAATATGCTAAATACTCAAGCAAATAGTTAACCAGGAATTTGACGACCTAAATATTATTCGTAAAAGGTAATGTATATGAAATAGTATTTTGTGTTACTATTTCGCAAAGAATGTCATCAGTAGATAGTGATTGAGTCTTAAAATTGTGTAACATTTATTCTAGATATGCTATCTTCAGCAACCAAAAAATCTGATGATGCTCTCGATGCATAGTTCATCACTCTTATTGTTGCCATAGTCTGTTATATAAAGTGTATCAGATGCTGAATCATTTGCGATACCATAAGGATATTTCGATTGATTTTTTAAACGATTAGAACCGCCTAAAACAAACTTGCTTATAAAGTTGTCTAGTATCTAAATATTTTATAATTTTCTATAAATAACATTGAGAAAAGATTCAGAAAATCAGTCACATTTTGTACTATATGATTTGATGAAAGAGACATGACAAAGATTAAAGAACACATCGCTTTCTTTTCTGAAAAACATTACTTAGAACTATTTTTATAATTTAATATTCTTCATTTAATAAGCAAAAATATTGTATATATTCAGAACAAATAGTTCCAAATAAAACATTCTAAATCATTGTATAATCTATAGTTTATTTCACTGATGTAAAATTCTAATACTTATATAGTTCTAGTTCTTTAAAATAAACAATCAGTAATGTGTCTTTGTAAATTATATAATGATGTAAGAAAATGTACTGAACATAATCTCACTTAATCATGGCTGATTTCGAACTATAATTTAATCTTAATTATAGCTTTGAAAAAACAAAATATATTTATTATGCTAAAAAATTTAAAAAGAGAATTACATAACGACTAAGAAAATCATTAATTATACGAAAATAATCTCAAATAGCTTTGCTAACATCATATCAAATGTCAATGAATTCAATCAATTATTTAGTTGATAAAAAAGATTAAAACATATATCATGAAACGATGGTTTCTTACCAATACTTCTAATAACGTACATCGATGATACACCATAAGAAAGTGTGTAATCATTGTCATTTTCTGCTATTCCATTAACACCTGTTTGATTTCAATGAAATATAGCTACTCGAACTAAAAGATAAAATAAAAACTCAACTTTTGTTTCGTTGAAACGACAAAGAGTTTATTTGTAAAGATAATAGTCATCTATCTACTAAAGAAACAATGAGTAAATTACTTTCATAAAAAAAATAATCATTATCAACAGAAATTTTTCTTTCTATCAATGATGATTAAAATAAATCAAGAGATTGTTAATTTAATTGTGAAATATGCTCTTGAGATTCTTATGTTGTAAATTTATTCATCTCAACCATTAAATAGAAGTGAGAAAAGAGAAAATACATTCTATCTTACATGTTGTTATTTTGGACTTAGAAGAACAATTGAAAAAACACTACTAATGATGATTGTAAGCATTAAAATAGAGAGAATTGATATTACTACACATCGACACGAACATCTGCAATAAATATTGATAAAAAAAAAATACAAAAATATAGATTGGACGAAAAGAAAAGAAAAACTTACATTTTCTTTTTATTTGTTTTTTTTATTTGTTATTCCGATGATAATCGTTAATAATTTCGAATCGATCTGAAGAAACACTCCTTGGCTGCATTTACTCAAGAAATTTTTCATAAAGAGAAATGAGAAAAAGAATTTAATAGTTTATTTTAATACTATTACGATGATTATTGTTACTAATATTCTATATAAGAATAAACAATCATTTTTCTTCAGAAAACACATACATACTAACATTAAGATGAATAACTTTCGATAGACTTAATCGATATTTATTAGTTTTTATGATTATAGGTTATAAATGATTTTGTATATTACCAGTTTTAATCTATAAATTCATATATTGTTGAGCATTGTTCAATCGAATATTAACATGAATCACACTATTCGATTATTTTTTTTTCATCGTCAATTGATAATGATGCTAGATAGAGTCATACTGAATCGTAATCGAAGAAAAAAGTGAATTTACTTGATTATTAAATGATCGTTGACGAAAAAGATATGATACTTTTATAATATTTGTCTGATTTGACAATGCAGTACCTAAAACATTTATTATTCTTTAAGAAAACGACATTGCTTTAGATAATGTCTACTTCTCATTATTTTATCCATGTTTTTCCAACGATCAAGAATGTATTGTTATGCTTTCAATTTCTCTTAGTGATCGAGCAAATATACATTGTTTTATTGATATGATAATTAAATTAAGATTTAAAAAATAAGAAATTTGAATATTTTTTTTATTTCATTTTAGCATATAGGAAAAACGAGATCTGCTCTATAAAGACTTCGTATGTTAATATAGCATATTTGATAGTTTCGCCCATGATAGATGCTTTTTTTTAATTTAAAATAAATCAAAAAAAAAATAGTAAAAATCATTTTCTTCAATATTAAAGAAAATGTTGTATTCTATTGTGATTTGAATTTGCAAGATAAAAATTGAGTTGAGTGTCAAGTTTTATGGACTAGGGCACACTAACCAATATAGAATTACTATCACGAACATTGGTAATTGCAGCTAATTTCTATTGATATTATCAGCAACAACTATCCAACAAGATAGCACCATACGGTAAACTAACAACATTCTGAGTAAAGTGATTCACAAGAACAAAATCGTTTAAACATGAATCGAAATAGAGTCTAACCAGTGGTATCGATTGTGTAATGCTTTTTCTCATTTCCAACAGTGCCGATAATTGAATATACTAATGAAGCATTTAATAAATCGTACTTTTCTCTAAATTATCATAATCTATGATGTAAAATGAATTGAAGTCTGAATAATAATTGATACCTTACGAAATGTTTTATGCATTATTTGAAGTAAAAAGAAATCGTTTCATACAACATTCTCTCTCGTTTTTCTTGTTCAGGTTTTTATTAATTACTAAGCTTTCCCAAAAAGAAAACAGTGTTTCTCTTTGAACTACAATTCAAATCTACAGATGCTCGTTAACAAAACTGAGAGTGAAACATTAATGATGTCGAATTATTTTGATAAAGACATTTAGACTTGCTGTCGTAATATTTTATCAGAAGATAATTGTATATTAAAACAACTTTTGTCAATTGTTAAAAAATGCTCAAGACTAGTCAATTCAAATATTTAAACTGGCAGAGGTGCAGAATCTACCCGTGTGCGGCACCGCGCGGTGGGGGAAATTTTTTAGATCTGGGGAAATTTTTGAAAATTTTTGAGCCTGGAAATGTTTCGAAAAAATAACTTTTTCCCATATGAAAAAAATCACAAGCTGTAATGCCTCTACCTATGAGCTTCTTGCCTTTGTGTTATTAACTATTTCTTTCTTTTTGTCCTGTTTCTCTTTCCTCATGCTTCGTTTTTCTCTTTCTCTCAGTTCCATATGTTCTGTTTTGTTGCTCCGCGCGCGTGAGTGCATGTGAGTGGTATGTGTATGAGATATATTTCGCTCTCTGCTCTTCTGGTATGATGCTTCATTTGTTGTTTTGTTCTGATATTGATGATGTAATGGTGAGAGAGTAATCACACAAGGTTACTAGACACTTTCTCTGATTTGCTTGTTGCGTATTTAGTCATAGTGACTATCTTGCTTCTTGGTATTCTTTCTACTTTTCTTTCTTGTCATATCACTACTCTGTCATGCTTCGTATTTACTCTTTGACTTTAGATCACTAGATTGTTACGATTTTGAGCAGTAGAAATGTTTCCTAGTAAAGAACAAGTATCGTGTTTTTATTGTGATTGGAATGGTCGTAAAGATAAAGCGAAGGACCATTGTACAAGAAATCATCCTGGTAAAACGTTCAAACTGAAGCTTGCAGAAAACAATATGGAAAAATTTTTTCAAAAAAAAACTCAAGGAAGAGAAACAGTTATAGATACCATCAGTAATGACGACCAGGAACAAGAACAACAATCTTCTATCATCATTTCACCCTCACGTCCATCACTCATTCATTCGGATCCCTCACCTATGCCTTCTGGTGTTGTTTTGACGAGTCCGACGATCTATTCCGTTCACGATCAATTACTATCGATGTCGAAGCAGCTGACAAAATTATCAGAGACGATAGAACAAATGAATTCGGACAAAGCAAAAAGGCATGTGTCGTCAATTCCACAATCGGATGATATTGAACAACTATTTGAAAGTATCAAATGTACGAATGAGTTATATTCATTGAAGCATATGGAAATAAATAATCAACTGGATACTATTACGTGTATACCATGTTTAAAGTTTAAAAAACATGCACCAAAACATTTATTAAGTACTATTAAATCTTCGTTTGGCTCATTTGAATACGTTGAACAAGACGCGACTCGAGTTCAATCTGAACGTTTTCGAAATTTAAAAAAAGCTTTAAGACATCATTATTTAAACAAACTACACATCTGGTGTGTAGAAGAAGATGAGAAACGAAAGCAATTATTCGACGATTTTTTAAGAAAAAATGAGAAAGCTGGATGGAATGTTGGTCGAGCAGCGTTATTCTGCATTCAAGGTGGTCTTGGTGGCCTGAAATTTGTTGATACATTGAACTTATTGGATATCTCTGGAGCATCAGTTGGAACTTATAGGTAGATAAAACTATTTTACCAGAGCTAAATCTGTCAGTGTCATGCTAGACCTTATTATTTGCATATATGTTTAGATACAGTCGATGGTTTTTCGAGAAACTAAGAACGTCGATGACAATAACGATGAAAAACAGAATTAGTGAATATTTACATTCGGTTGATCCTGTTACACAACGTCGTCGACCGTTCGGCATAACATTGGATAAAGTTACATTATTAAAAAGGTCGATGCAGGTGACAATTATGATCGTAATGATTGACGGACAGTTAACACCTCTTTATCTTCAGTCTCCATTATGTCAAACAGAGTTAACGGGGGAAGACTTAGCTAGTAATTGTGTTCGAGTACTAGAATCATTTGGCTTGAAAAAAAATGCATTGCAAGAACAATTCACTGGTTGTGCCGTCGATGGTGCTTATATTAATTTGCAAATTGAAAAACATCTATGTCAAAAACTAGGAATGCGAGAGAGATGGTTAACAGTGTCATGGGATAGTGCACATTTACTTGAATTAGCAATAAATGATGCAAAGAAACAAAGTAAATTTTCCTGGTTACAAAGGTTCATTAAAACATGTGGTACAATCATGAAAAAATATTCATATGGAAAATCATATGAGCACCTACTGGAAGCAGCAGAATTAGTCGAAGAACAAATACTACAACCAAAACAATTTCATATTACCCGTTTTGTTCAATCCGAACTCCGCGTATACGAAACAGTATTAAGAGAGATTGGTCAACTCTGTATTATTTGCAAGAACAAGATAGTGTAATTAACTCATTAGCAGGTGGAAATGTAAGTGCAAGAACAAGACGAAATATTGATACAGAATACAAAGCAGGTGATAGCGATAGTGTTAGTTACAAAGTAAGTTGTAATCAGAATTTTTACTCCGTGAGAATCACTTCATTCTCTGGTTTAGCATGAAGATATCAAATCTGTGGATTTTGTTTGTAAACTTATTGGTTTAAATGATATCTACAATATTCTTGTACGAGCATCTATGTCTGTGCAGCAAGTCAATAAATACCCGTGGGAACATGATGATTCAATTCGATATTTACAAAAATGTTTAAATGGATATAGTAAATTACTTGAACAATTAGATTTAAATAAAACACAAGAAATGGATAGTTTGGAAGGTAAATTCTTGTTTTAGATTCTAAAATATTGCCACCTTTCGAATACACACTTTTATCTTATTACGTTAGAATGTGAAGAACCGGAACCAGTTGGCTTACTCGGACCAACAATCGATGACGATTGTGATATACAAGAAGAAGACGACGAAGATACACAAGTTCGAGCGATGCCATCAGCAAAATATATTGAACAATATTATCAAGATCTATTGAAATGTGAATTCAAACAACGTCCAATCATCATACGACCTGGTGATTATGATTTAGAAGATCCAACTACACATGCAAGAAAAAAATTGATCGAATTATGTCAACAATTAGTTGAAACAATTACAACACGGTTTCGAGAGATACCATATATTTTTATATTGATGAAAAATTGTTTAGATGTTTCACGTTTATACGACCTAGTGGTATCAACAGGTAAACAAACAATGAATGATTATGGCAGAGTTGAATTACAAGGACTTATTGAATATACGCTGTTGAACTCAGAATATATACAGATAGATGGAAATACTATACAAGATCAATACTCCGAATGGAAACGACGAGTTTTACATGAAATCAAAGAGGAGGATACCCTGGACATTTGGACAACAAATGGAGAGTTGATCACATCAAAAGAGATGAAAAGCTTTTATACAAGTACAGATTTATCCGACGGTATCAATGATTTTCTCTACTTTCATTCATTAATGGTACTCAAAATTAGAAGCGAAGCGATATGTGAATCAGCAGCGTCAATTTTAAAAGGACATATTCATGGCAACCGTTCATTACATCATGATTCGTTAGATAATGAAGTAATGCTTCACTGGAATGCTCCCCCATTGCATCTCGCTGATTCATTTATCAAACATTCACTGGATCATTACTTCAGCAGCAAGAAGGAGAAAAATTGGTTATTTTATAAAAAGAGTGAACAATATCAAACATGGAAACTTTTATCACCTGGCTCTGTTGTACTAAACCATTTGAGAAAAAAACAAGTACCAAAATTACCAGAATCAATCGATAATTAATAGAACGGATTGTTTTTTTAAATCACGCTGTTTGTTTTAAGTAGTTCTTTTTCGATGCCTTTGCTTATAGATATATAATCCACAGAAGGCCATGTTTTTTGATTTTTCTAACTGGGGAAATTTTTCGAAAAAATTTTAACGGTGGGGGAAATTTTTGCTTTTTACGGCAGATTCTGCACCTCTGTAAACTGGTTTGATCGACCGAACTGGTTATTATTATGCTTTTATCATTGTCATGTTCACATAGTACGAAAAAATGATATTATTCGCATAGCCTCGAAGAAAACCGGAATAAAAATAACTACTCATATGTGTAAAGATCTACCTCAATGGTTCAAATAGAATTTAATGATTTTTTTTTTAGTGGCTTAAACATATGTAAATTTGCATGATTACCAACTCCTTTAACTAGAGAACATATGACATTGGTAAAACATTCTTTTTTAATTGACATGTTTGTTTTTATTAAAGAAAAAAAACTACAAGAATGCACTAATCATATGAATACTTATTCGCTAATCTACTCAAGATTATGAAATAAATACTAGATTTTTTTTTTACAAATTTGACGCATTTAATGTTAACTATAACGAGATACGTGCGTAAATATACCCATAGAAATCACTAAACAAGTTTCTTTGTTTTCCTCTGAGCTTTGACGAGATGAACCCTCAGAAAGAATAATATTCCAGTTAATCTTAAGCAGTTTAATGTTTTTTTCTCAGAAAATAGAAGAATATCATTGTTAGATTATATCATGATTAATTCATATTTTCGTTCAATCTGGCATCCTGATATATATGTATGAGCGATTTGTAATAAATTGGTACTGTTTCAACATGTGACGAACATTCGCAATCACTCTGATTTCTGTTGCTCAATAAGAAAGTATGCTTTTGTTTTGATCGACCATTTAACCTTTACTATCAGGCAAAAAAATCAGTACAATGTAATATTGATGAAAAAATCGGGATAGAAAATAACAAATTATTGTTGTTACATCAAACTTCTCGGGAGATTTTCAATTTTGTTTTGCCTACAATTCTGTGAACTCTCAATCGTTTGCTATCAAACTTTGCTCCTATTTTTATAACTTATACGATATACTTGTGGTCAAAAAAAAAACAGTTCGCCACAGCGAATAGTTCGGAAGAAAAATACATATTCATATAAAAAACTGTCCTGCAGTGTTTTTCGGTAAACACCTATGTCTAATCGTGAATAAAACTACAATTATTTCATATCAATCGACTTCTTTTTTCGAGGTATTGTTCGGTGCTATTGAAAGCGAAGAAAGAAGAGCTGCTTTCGATGACAAAAAATTTTTATTTTTCTCAAGGAGAAATTTCTGTGATCTAGTCAAAATTCATTTTGTTTATGGTGAAAATAACGTCTTCCTCACTCAATTCTGAAATCCTCGCAAGAATCTTAGAACTATCAGCATTTATAATCTTTGAGATAAAAGCATTACTGATTGAAGAACAGTCTAAAACTCAAATAAGTTATTTACACATAATAACGCATGTTAAGGTTTTGAAAACTGTATGCTTTGTCTAAAGAAGTTCGTATTAATGTGCAACAACGTTGCAACATTTGTCATTGAGTGCACTTCATCAAGAACTATCAAAGTATATGTTCCGTAGAGGTTTCTTATTTTTATTCAGAAGGATTTCTTAAATAGTGAGTGTTTCTCAATTACAATTCTGCAATATCATAATTATCATAATCGCCATCATCACAAACAATATGATACGATTTTTTTTTATTCTTTCGCTATTAGCTACACATATAATACAAATGTGCAAGCTGTCGCTCATTTTTTTTTCTAATTTTTCCAGTGCTATAGTTTTTAAGCAGTCAGCAAGACACCAAAAAGCTTCAACCAGTTGACATACTAGTTCTGCAAGGGTAAATTTCAAATTTAACCATATTTCAATTTCAATCTCAATATATACATCTATAGTATACTTTCTATTTATTATAAACAAAATTTATGAATGTCAAACTAGTACATCATGAGAAATCTTGAATTACATTGACAAAAAAATATATATTCAAGTCTTATTAATTTGATTTTATTTATTAAACAATGTATAATATGATTATTCAGGCGTCATAACATTATATTGTCCTTTTTTGTGCCTTCTATATAAATAAACACTTAGACTAACAATAATACCAAAATATAATACAATACATAAAACAATAATAAGAGCTAAAATATTTGATGAAAGTTTTTTTGATGATCGATTTTTATCTAATTGATTAAGTAATGATGCAAGTCGACGACCTGCTTGTGTTAAACGTTGATCAATAAGAGGCCAATTTCGATTGAAATACTTTTCACCTAATACAAATTTTTTTAAAACATCAAGTTTATTATCATTATCATCAAAATAAACTTGTTTACAAACATAATCAACACTTTCATCAATCCATTTTTTATAATCATTATATGTTTCATTAACTAATAAAGATTGATTAAACATAAGAGATTTCAAATATTGATAATAAAGATTAACATCTGATTGAAAATGACGATTAATATGAATATTAATTATTTCAACATCCCATATTATATGAAGATTTGTTAGATTTACTTCATTGAAAAAGAAACCTAGAATATAATTTTAAATTAAGTTTAACAAAAACAAAAGTAAAACATAAAATAAACTCACCTGTGGTTTTTATTCCCGCAAGATCTCCTTTAAATCCACCATGTAATGGTTGATGTACATCACCAACAAAATGAACAAGAAAAAAAAGAGCTTGTTGTTGTTGTACATAATCATAATTATTATCAATTAATCTTTGTGAATAATTTTTTAATGCTCCTTCAAGACATCTATTATTCAAACAATCTCTTGATGAAATATATTCACAACTCCAGTCAGGTATATTTATATAATGTAATTCAAGAGACCATTGCCAATTCTCGTAGTCTAGTGGATTTGTCATTGGATAAAGTATTATATCAGGCCATGATGCAATTGCACTTAAATCACCTGATAAATTTCGTGGTATATAATTTTGAATCCAATTATTAGTAGATGAATCTAATTGACTTTGTGCAAGACGTGCAACAAGATTATGACCAATCGGTCCCCAACTAAAAACACTCACAATTTCTTGATAGAATAAAACAAAGTAAAGTGTGGATATTAACATGATGTGAAAATGTGTATCAACGAACGAAAAGAAAAGCAAACTATGTAGAAAATAATGATGATTGTTGGTGACTAAATAAATAAGCAATGAAAATGGATGAAAGATATGATTCATTGTTTATTGTATAATTTCATTTCGTTTGCTTACTTTTTGTTGAAGTTAATTGGATAAAAAAATAAAGATAGATTTTGAAAATGTCTTGTTCTGATTTTTCTAAACAATCGAATTGTATTTGTTTAAGTAAGAAAATATTTATGACTGTTTAAGGTCACCAGGATTCAAGAGGAGTGATGACTCAGGGAACCTATTGCCGGTAGATTTTTACTGCAATCGATCAAATTTTTGTTATACTAAAATTTAGGATCAACACAATCATTCTTTGTAGAGAACCAGGACATTATAAAAATGATATTGTGGCACAAAATAAATATAGAAACGATACTCGTGGATGCTTGTTGTAATATATAGGTCATATGTCATTTTTTTTCTTTCGTTGATTTGCTCTATTATCTATAAGAGATTTTATTTCAACTCTATTTATTATATCAACTTTAATTTTTATATTTTAATTTCATCTTAAATAAGTATAACATAACCACAATCAAGTTTACTTTGATTATTATTATTTGTTGTCTCGGAATAGTTCGTCAGTAAAATTGAAGTAAATTAGGAGTCGATATCATTTATTATTCAGTTTTTTAAAAGCTTGCCACTAGGCCTAGGACAGCTCTCAGTTCTATGAACTGTATATTTTCCAATAACTGGGTATAGTAACCAGTCCTTTTTCGAGAACTGGCTACTGTTAGGGTGTGGGTGTGGGCCAGAGATGTTGGTGACTGACTTTTTTTTGACCCAACCCGCAAACCCGACCCGTTGAGGGTCGAACCCGACCCGTTTGACGGGTTGAACGATTTTTTTTTGAGCGGGCGGGTTAGTCTACGGGTTGAAGAATTATCAACCCGTCCCGGGCTGCCCGCGGGTTAACCCGCGGGTTAATGTAACTTTAATCAGTATAATATTTGCAAAAAAATTCATTAGTTTTTTTTAATTGGTTCTTTTTTTAGTATGTTTTGAAACTAAAATTTTTATCACTAGGATATTATCTTTTATTCCTGAGCATATACATAAGTATTACAAAATTTCAAGTTAAGTTCAAGAAAATAAATAGTCAAGTGAAAGTAACAGCATATGTTCACGTATACAATGTAAAAAGAAGCGGACGGGAAAAATGTGAAGAAACGAAAAAAATTGATCGATATTATTATTTCTGTAAACAAGCTTAGAAAGAGCAGCGCATTTATGTGTATATGCTTCAAAACAATTAGGTAAATGAATAGAACGAAGATATAGTGAAAACAAGTAATAGAAAAAATTTAGATATTGAAGAACGAAAGAAATAGTGAGAGCAGCTGAATCAGCGGAGAAAAGAAGAAATGAAACGAATAGTGAACGTAAATCTATGTAAAAAAAAGAATAAGAAGACGAAAGGAAAATTCGTCAACGGGTTGAAACGGGTTGAACCCGCGAGTTCACATAAAAATATAACCCGACCGGGCAAACCCGTAAATCCTGAAAATACCTAACCCGTTAACCCGTAACCCGTCAGAGGTCTAACCCGCCCGCGGGTTTACGGGTCGGGTCACGGGTCGGGCGGGTTGATGCAAAACGGGTTAACCCGTCGACATCTCTGGTGTGGGCAGCGTGGGGTTTTAGTGTGCGTGTTGATGTGGGTGCGGGTGTGAGTAGATGTAAATGAAGAGAACATTGATACTGACATCCACATCCACACTAACACCCTCACCCACACCCTTAACATCATATCTACGTTTTTAAAAACCATTTGAATTAAGAATTATGAAAATAAATGAGGCTCAACAATAGAGCCCTGATAAATTTGTATACTTGGACATCATACAAGGTCTGAGATCTTCTGTTGTGCGTAGAGCTTTACCAATAATAACAAGGTAATTTAATTGAATGAATGAATTTGTTCATATTTACTCAAGACAGTAGTATTGATACAAAAATTTTGTTACAATAAAATGCTTGTTCTATGTGTTCAAATTTACTGTTGACATAGGAAAACAATAATCCATTCGATGATAATATTTTTCAATACATTTGTTTTCAATTGTTTCTTTGATGGATTTCAACAAAGCATTTGTTACTAAATGTTCTTATGAGATGGCATCTTAATTGTGTAAAAGCTTATAATACATTCTGATTATCAATGATGCTGTCAAATCATCCTAGTTTTCAACAAGTATTTAAAAATTCGATTATTTATACTATACACAAGTTTAATATTCAACTTCGTTGATAGAGCTATTCATTCGCGTTTTATTGCAGAAGTCAACGATTGATCAATTTGATACTGTTTCCTTCGTAATTTAATTGTGAAAAATTGTCAAAAATTTCCTATGAGTGCAATATTCAATATGATATTGACAGGCAATCAACTTTGTGAACCCATTATTTAGTTTCGATGTATGTTTGCAATCGTTACATTGCAATTGCCAATAAATTGAATCGAAACTACTATTTTCTAGCTATTGGCTAGAGAGTACACATCAATTTCATGTTTAGATTTTGTTTTCTGAAACAGGATATACTATTATAAATATATTAATCTATCTTGAAAAATTTAGGCGCCTAATTCAATTTTTTATTTCCAAAAACAAAAATGATTTTATTATTTCTTTTCATTAAACTCTTTTTTCTACCTATTTCTTATTCACTTAATTGTATTGGAGGTCCAAATTGTCATATTACATTAGATTTCAATCAAAAATTACCTAGTCATAAACAACTTCTTGAAACATGCTCTACTATTGAAGTTTCATCATGTTCTGTATTTCTTAAAATTGATTATGATGATCAACAAGTAGATATTTCATTTAAAAAAATATCAAATTATACACAATCATCATATCCTTTTATGGATCTTCTTGCAACAAATCGTCAAGCTTCAATTATTCTTCGTTATACGATTAAAATTAAAGTTCATCATCATAATAAAATTCAACTATATGTTTTACTTCAATGTCAAACTCATGATCAATGTACAGAACGACAATTACGTCATTATTGGCCTCGTTTTATTTCATTAGATAATCGTCAAAATAGTTTTAATCGTTTTTATAATTTTCTTTTTTTAAATACATCAAATTTTATTTATTGTTTTGATGATCAATTAAATCAAACTGTGCAATGCTCGATGATTGATGATAGTAAATGTTGGGCATCAACTGATAGTCGTCGACGATGTATAAAATCTGATAAAGATTATCCTAATTATTTTATCTATTCCTACAATAAAGTTGATCAACCACATCAATTAACAGATGAACATGTTCATTATACATTGATATGTCATGCCAATAATTGTAATAATAATCAGTCTATTAAACAAGTAAGAAAATGAATTTATTAGTATAAATTTAAAAGTTTTTCTATAGCTTAGTGAATTAGCTCGGCAATTTGCTGAAAATTCACGATTAATAAATAATGCAACAGATCGAACAAGATTACATGATAAATCATTTGCTATCAAATTTCTTGTTTCTTATTTCGATATTTTTTGTTTTGGATTATGTATAATATTGAAGAATAATTTTCTTTGACATCTTTTTTAAGTTTTATTTGATAGAAAAGTAATATTTAGAGTAATAGAATTGGAACGTCACTTAGTGACATAGGAATGTTGTTCTTTGTTTATTAAAAAATGGTGCTAATGATTGTAAATGAAATGAAGTTTTTGTTGATCTTGAACAAGAACTTTTTTGTACAAACTGTTATTAGTCAACTCGATTAGTTTTTAAAAAAATATACAAAACCATGTTTAACATTAAAAGTTTTTACATTGTAGTTGTCAAAAAAGTCATTTTGAATTAGTTCATTGATTTGTTGACATACGTTCAGTTAATTTCGCTATTTTCAGGCCGAGAAGTACGGGTGATTTCCGGCAGAAAAACACCGGAGGTCGCCGGAACAGGGTGGCAATATTCCGGCCGGAAAATTTTCGGATTTTTTCCGACAGGAATACTGTCACCCTGTTCCGGCGACTTTCGGTGTTTTCCCCGCAGGAAACAGTGAATTTTCCCGCATCATTCTTGCAGGATCCGGTGACCGGAATCTTCGACCTGGGTTGTTGACACTTAATTTTTCTTTAATTAATAAATGAGGTATGATAGCTGATGAAGAAGGAACTAATCATGACAATCAAAATGCTCAACATTTATATACAATACAATCACTTTTGACTTATGAAAATAGTTCTATGTAAACTGCATTGTGAAGCTACATTTAATGATTTATTATAAGTACTATGGGTTATCATTACGTTAAGAATGGATTTATATTTCTATATAGAATGATGATCATTGCTCTTTAGAGATCCAACAACGACAGTAATCTGTGTTGTATGTGATGCTTACTATCAAAGTTAAAAATTTATTGATGTATTTTTATTAGACAGACTATTCATATTAGCTTTTTAAAATTTCATTTTGCAACAAATTGTATTGCTAAAAATCTTTAAGTGGAAATTAAAACACTTTTCTCTCTAATAATTATCAAATTTATGATTTACCAGAGAATAACTCTAATATTTGTTTATATACGTTAGCTTGACCTTCGTCAGTATACATGAATTTATACTTTACGTTCCAAGATTCTATTGATTGTACTTATCTACAAGTATGCAAATATTCATATAACTCGACTCATTCCAAACGATGGATTGGTTGTACCACGAACAGTAATGGCTAGTGGAGTTCGTATCATTCTATGCAACTTTGGGTGTATCTAATTTTGCTGATACTATTTTTCTTAGTCCTACTATTTATCATAGTTTAGATACAATTAATGTAATATTATTTGAAAAAGCTAATAATATAGTCTAAATAGTGCTTGAATGTAATGTAAAACATCGTCATTCAAAGATTTATTCATATACTGTTTGTACTTATATACAATATAGAAGTGATAGTCTTAACACTATTGAATGGCAAGTACAATATGAAATTCAAAACGAAATTAACTCTATTTTATTTATTTCGATGACAAAATATAAAAAAAAACAAAAATACAAGCACGAATAATAAAACTTGAAATGAATTCGTCAATGTTAGATATCACATAGGTATATCATTATTTAAGCTTTTCTTTTTATCACTTCTGATAACATTCTAAATATTCAAGATAAAACTATTTTATCTCTCTTTATGATATAAAAGAAACTATGGTCGTTAAAACAGATGTCTGTTAAAATTAGTATAGCTACCAAAAAAGAAAAATGTTAATATAAGAATCTATCTATAATCAACAATGGTGTAGGTCATATTTGCAGTTGTTAGCTACATTTAAAACACAGACTTTGGATGTGTTTATAAAATAATAAGTATATATGATATTTTTAGATTATAAAAATAAAAATCATGAAAATTATCATTGAGTTTTACATTATAACATGTCTCATTTTGTTGTGTACATCCAAAGATATATCAACAAAGAATAATATTCAAATCTTTCATTCATATAAAAATAGTGTTAGTCTTTATTGGAATTCTAATCATCTTGAATATAAAATTATTCGTGATAATGAAATTTGGTTTGAAAGTGGTCCATTTTTTATTCATTTTAATCAAACATATTATTCATCAGCACCAGAACAAGAAATAATACCAATGTTACCATTATATTTAATAGAACAATATGAAAAAATTGGTACTGATATTATTTTTGGTTTATTTAATAAATTATCACTTCGTTGGTCATATACAAATACGACAAATAATTTTATTTGGGAAACATCATTTTAAATTTTTCATGAACAATCAATTATTTTATTTGAACAATATTTTCCTATTGATCTTAATGAAATGTCACAAGGAAATATAAGAGAAACATTTAAATATGTTTCAACAGCATTTCCAAGATTTAAAGTTTCATTTAATCAAACTGATCAATATATTATTGATCAATTAGGTCATTTTACTTTTTTAGATGCTTGGGATTTAAATATGCGTGGAATTGGTTTAAAAAATGTTTTTAATGGTGGTTTATATAGTGGAAATCCATTATTATTATATAATTTAACAAAATTAGATTCAAATATTATTTTATCATCATTAACAAATTTTATGACTAATTTTCAAACACGTTCACCATCATTAAATTATCATTTATCATGTGGTTTACATGGACGTATTCATCAAATACAACAATCTTTTTCTTTAACAACTATATTATTATCATCACAATCTAAACAAGGTATTAATCAAATAATTAATCTATGGGGAAAATTAATGTTACAATATTATGGAAAAGAACATATTAAACAACAAAAAAATTTTCATAATGATTTTTATATATCTAAATTAGGTTATTATACAGATACAGGTGCTTATTATTGGTATAATAAAGAATCAAATTTAACATATGAACAAACATTTATTAAATTAAAACAATATCATGTACAAGAACATATTCCTATTCAATATTATGAATTAGATTCATATTGGTATTATAAACAAAATAATAATACTGGTGAACATGGTGGTATTAAATTATATGAACCAAGATTAGATATATTTCCAAATGGTATTGAAATTTTACAAAGAAATATTTTACAAACACCATTAATTGTTCATCATAAATATTATTCAACAGATAATTTATATCAAAATAAATATCAATTTTTAAATGGTAGTGATGGACAAGTTTCATTACCATTAGAACAAATATTTTTTAATAAAATTTTTTCACAAATTAAACAATGGGGTGTAGAAATTCTTATACAAGATTGGCTTTCATCTGTTTATGAAGATATGCCTAATTCATCATGGGATGTTCATATAGCACGTGAATATCATTTACATTTAGCTGAAGGTGCTAAACAAGCTGGAATTAAATTAATTTATTGTATGCCATTAAATCCTGATATATTAGAAACATTAGAAAATACTCAAGTACATTATATGCGTATTAGTGATGATTATTCAGTTAATATTAATCAATGGAATATTGGTCGAGCATCAATAATAACATGGGCTATTGGTATTATACCATTTAAAGATACATTTTGGACAAATTCAATACAACCACAATCACCATATGGAAATTTTACTGAACCAAATATTCAATTAAATGCATTGATTGCATTAATGAGTTTAGGTATGAATAAGAACTTTCGATTAATGAAAATATAATGAGTTGAATTTCTTCGATTTAACATATATATTGAATTTATCAAAGAAGTTCTTTCAATTGATAAAATGATATTGTGTAGATCCAAATGAGTTATAAATACTCTGAAAAGAATTCGAATTCTTAGACTTATTGTTATGGAGATACTAAAAATTTTACACTATTTTTTAAATGAATATCGTACTTCACAATGAATGATTGTAATACTTTTATTCTAAAAACCTACTGAATTTCAAATTCTGATATGATTTAACTTAGAAATCCATAATGCATTAATAAAGAATTTTTTCTGCATAGGTGGTGTTGCTATATCAGATAAAATTGGTAATACAAATGTAACTGTTGTTAATCGCTTATGTCGATTGGATGGTGTTCTATTTCGTCCAGAACGACCTGCAACTGCCATGGACTCAACTTTTCTAGGTAGTGGTGGTCCAAAAGGAGAAATGTGGCATACATATAGTTCTGATGCACAACAAAGTTTCTTTGTTGAATATATTATGATAACAAATTTAACTGAATCTTATATATTCTCTTGGAATGAATTATTTAATACACAAGAGGATGATAATCCAAATCGAAAAATATCTGATATTTATCTTGTCTTTGAACTTGAAAATTCAAGAGATTATTATTGGTTTACATCCATAAATTCTTCAACAATATTAATGCCATCATGTGCACAAGATAAACTAACATATTATTCACCATTTCATCTTTTTGTATTTGTACCTTATTCAAAAATATCAAATTGGATTTTATTTGGTGAATTAAGTAAACAATTACCAATTACTCGACAACGATTTTCATCTATACAATATTCATTAAATGAGTCTGATACTTTTAAAATAAATGTTACTGGAGTTTATGGTGAACAAGTTTGGATTACGATTGGACATAGTGAACATGTATTTGGACAAATTGATTTTTATACTATACAATGTTCATTTCTTTCAATAGAAAGTATATCAACAATGATAATCACATGTAACACAGAAACTGGATGTCAATGTAATAATATTTGAATTTAATAAATTTTTGGTAGAATATAACAAGAAAAAAGAAAATTGTAAACATATAATTCATGAACATAGGATAGAAAAATGTTTAAAAACAAAAACAAATTAATTTAACAGTAAGAGAACCTTATAACGTGAGTACATGTTCGGTATTATTACATTCATATATTTCATTGAGTATTGATCTATCATTGGTATCGATTTGATTGTATCGAAGATCTAATGTAATGAGTGTCTATATTTAACAATGAAAATACGTATGAAAGAATTTATAAGAAAATAAAAACTTTATCTGACCGAATTTTTTTGTAATGCATTAGCTAGAGATTTTATTCCTTGTATGCAGATTTCATTGAATGCAAGATCTACTATGTTGAGTGTCTATATTTAACAATGGAAAAATTTATGAAATACAAAATGATTATAATATTCGTCTGACTTTATTATTTTCTAATAAATTAGCTAGAGATTGTGCTCCTTCATCGGCAATATGGTTCAATGCAAGATGTAGATTAGTAAGAGTCTATGTATAGAGATTATGATAAGTTTAGAAATGATAGATAGGATATTTGTTTTACTGTATTATTTTCTAAAGCATTGATTAAATAATTGGCACCTTCGTCACTAATATTATTTCGTACAAGATTCAATGTTTTGAGTGTCTATATTGAGTAAAATAGAGATGATCAGAAAAATAGATAAGACAAGAATTGATCTTACAGTATTATTTCTTAATGCATCAGCTATATATTGTATTCCATCATCATAGATTTCATTACTTTGAAGGTCCAATTTAACAAGTATCTATATTAATCCAAAAGAAATAAATTTAAATAACCTAAGAAAAATCTTTCTTACTGAATTATTATTTAATACATTTCCTAGATATTGTGCTCCTTCTACACCGATACTATTCCATCCTACATGTAATGTAGTAAGTGTCTAAATCGAACAACAACAGATATAAACGCTAGATAAATAAATATTACATTCATCTTACATTATTATATTGTAATGCAATTGACAGTAATTCTATACTGTCATTACCGAGTTGATTGCCTCCTAGATTGAGTGTAGTGAGTGTCTATATTATGACGTTGAAATATGTAGATTACAGAAAATAGAAAAATTTTACTCACTGTATTATTTTCTAATGCATTCGCAATAGATTGTGCTCCTTCAACACTGATATCATTTCGGGCAAGATTCAACGTTGTCAATGTCTGTTTTTACAAGATTAATATCAATGTGAGTTATAAAACTAGAAAACTTTGTTACTGTGTTAGTTTCTAATGCATATGCTAAATATTTTATTGCATCATCGCCTATTCCATTGCCTTCAATATTCAGTTCAGTCAGTGTCTATGTTGAAGACTAGATAAACAAATAGATAAATCGAATATTTCTTCTACCATGTTATTTTCTATGGCATTTGCCAAATGTTGTATTCCATCAATATCAATTTGATTTCTTCCAAGATTGAGTGAGATAAGTGTCTATGTTAATTAGTTACAGTAAATATATGTATGAGAAATTGAAATAAAATATGACTTACTGTATTATTTTCTAATGCACATACTAAAGATTGTATTCCGTCGCCTTTGATATTATTATTTTGAAGATCGAGTGTCTTGAGTGTCTACATTAAGTAATAGTTATGAACATGAAATACATAGTAAAGAACTCTTCTTACTTTATTATTTTGTATAGCGTTTGCTAGATAGTATGCACCTTCGTCACCAATTTCATTGCATTCTAGATTGAGTGCGATAAGCGTCTATATCCAT